GATTGGGCCCAATCCACTACGTCTATGAGACGTCTGACATTATATACCGAAGAGCGTTTGGAAATAAAGCCCACTTGGTCCCTATGGATTATATCCATCATAATTCCATTTAATCTACTTGCCATTATTGAGGAGTAAAGTTTTAAATCCTCATTCCATAACGAGATAGGTCTATAATTGGTTATTAACTCTGAGGACTTTTGTGGTTTAAGAATAGGGACCAAGTTAGCTCTCAGCATCTCCGGCGGGATATTACCTTTTAACATAAACTCGTTAAATATATCCCTCAGGGTAGTTGCTAAGTTTTCTTTCATAGATTTATAAAATTTATTTGTAAAACCGTCCGGACCTGGAGACTTAGAGATTTTCAATCTATCTATGGCTTGGTTGACCTCTTCCAGGTTTATAGGGTCATTTAAATTTTGTAGTTGAGATTTCGTTATTTTTGGCAGATTTAACTTCTCTAAATATTCTAAGAGATTAACTGGGGAATGTCTGTCTGGAAGATTATATAGTTTAGTATAAAATGCTTGGAAAGCCTGACCTATTTTTGATGGATTCAAAAGAACCTTATCTTCTTGAATGATTTTAGTTACCCTCATCTTGATAGAATCCTTCTTTAACCTATTCGAGAGTAGTTTATCCGCTTTATTCCCCCTGTAATACCATGTCCTTCGTAATTTTTCTAATGAAAAATTTGCTTTCTGGATTAGTAAATCATTAATGCTCTCTTTAATGATAGAGAGTTGTTTAGTAATATCTATAGATGGATTATTTTTATTTATATATTCTAAATGATCTAGTTGTATATACAGGTGCGTAAGATTATTTCCCTTCTTTTTTTTTTCCTGGGACCCCATCTTAATAAAATGTCCTCGAATTGTACACTTATAGGCGCACCATATAATAGGTAATGGTAAGTCATCTTTAGTGTTTTCTTCAAAAAATAAATTTGTAGTTGACTTAATTTGTTTTAAATATTCTGAAATACTTAAAAGACGATCGTTTAATCTCCAATTTGATCTATTATCCTTCAAGCCATCATCCAGAATCATCATTACCGCATTATGATCTGACCATGCAATATTTTTAATAAAAACTTTTTTAAGCATTTTGGATATGCTTGGGTCTGATATTATTAGATCAATTCTGGAATAAACCCGGTGAGCCCCAGAGAAACAAGTATAGTCATATTCCATAGGATGCAAAATCCTCCAGAGATCCAAAAGGCCCCTATTTTTTAACAAGTTACTGAAGGATTTAGCAGAGGTTTTTAGCTGTTTATTATACTGATCGTTAATTAAGCTTCTCCTATCTAGTTCTGGGTTAAGCATACAATTAAAATCCCCTAAATAGATTACCATGCCTTGTCTATTTCTATCTACTATATCCATTAGTTTCCTAATAAACTTAATCGGGGCTAAATTTGGGGCATAAAGATTCACTATCGTATAAATCCTATTATTTATTTCACAAATTAATATATGATATCTGCCTTCTGGATCCTGTATTTGGTAAATAAATTTAAAAGCTAATCTAGAAGAAATGAGGGTCGCAACTCCTCTTTTTTTTTTATCATATAAGGAGGAGGAAAAAATAAATGGATAATCTTTAGAATTTAAACGTATTTTTCCTCTTTGCTCCCAATGTGTTTCTTGCAACCCGCATATGGAAATGGATTCATCTTTCAAAAACCTAAGAAGGATATTGCGCTTTTGTGGTGAATTTAAACCTCTAAGGTTCAAAGTTACTATTTTTATCCTTATTAATCCAGTTTAGAATTGAACAATCTCCCTTGTGTCCAGCTATAGGGAGTAAACTCATCTTCCAAGACTCTAGAGAAAATATTACAATTTTTTATTAGATCTACCCCCCTTAGTTCAGGCTTGCTATTTTTACCAAAATTAATCCTATTTAGAATTGGGCAACTCATATAGAGCCAATCTCATGAGAAGGACCAAATATGACCAGACCATAACAAAACGACAGCACGTACATAAAACATTAAACCCCCGTAGGCTCCCTACCCCTCCTCCCATGGGAGCCATCCCAAAGCCCTTTACTGATCGTAACCTACCCAAGGTATAAATCAGTCAAACTCAACCGCGTTAGCGGTTGGAGGGAAGCAGAGGAGAATTATACCTAATTATCAACCCGAGAGCCTCATAAATAAAAGCTCTAAAGATAAAATGATAATAACAACTTAAAAAGAAGTATCACCCCCTTACCCAAAGACTAGAATTTATTACCTTCTTCCCTTACTATTTATCCATTACCATCCTAAGGTGGCTTCATAACTTTAATCATCAGTGCATATCTCAGTGATTAATTTAAATTCAGTGCTATATATAATACGTATGTTTAAAGCAATCTGACCGACATAATCTACTCAATCATTTAGCCAGGGTGCAAATCTTATATATTCAAAAATTAAAAATCTAATATATAAAGTGCTTATCTATTACAGTCCTAAAGAGACTTCATAGCTTTAATCAACCGTGCTTATCTTAGTGGTTAATTTGACTAGTGCTATATATATTATATATAATTAACACTGCTTCAAGCATCCCGTGAATTTTCTTTGTATCTCATATTAATTTGCTCTAATATTCTACAGAAATATTGTATCCTGTTTAGTCGTATATTAAAAAACTAGTGTGTAATATTATTTACACGCGTGTCATGTTGTGTTCCCCCGTGCAACATAATTTCATTATAATCTAGGATATACTATCTAACCTTATATTCTAATTTATATTTCTGCTTAATATCCCTATTTCACTTATATATATATGTCCCTAATTTTAAAGTTACCCTTGTAGTTTTACAATTATTGTGGTACTTAATATTCCCCTTGTTTGGTTAGACTATTTAGTGTTTCTCTTCACTATATAAAAAAAAATAAAAAAATAAAAAATTAAATAACCTCCGCTTCCCTCATCCGTTTTATCCCCAATAGCTTCATATCATCTTATTTGTTAATAACCATTGATGTAAACTATCAACCTCTTTAAAGGCTTCTAGATTGTCTTTATAATAAAACTTTAACCCCGTAGGGAATAGCCATGTGTAGCTTATGTTGTAATATATATTTAATACTTATGCAAACAACATATGTACACTTTTTTAAATTTGTGTGCAGCTGAAGTATGTTTTATATGTGAAATGTTAAAATTACAAAAAAAAATAAAAAATAATAATTTCTCTTCCACATTGTAACACCATAAGCATGGAAACATCCAAGGGTTGTGAATATTTATATACACATTTTTTTTTTTTGCAATTTAATTTAATTTTGCGTTCATATGGATTTTATAAATATGTTAAATTAGTTTTAATGGGAATAAACAATTTAGTTATTTAAAAAAAAATTAATATGTGTAAATATAGCACATGTAATTCACCAGAGACAGAGAATATTATGATAGAATGTCGAATTCATTCTACACCAGGCAAGATAATTAACATTGAATCATTTATACAATACATGAAAATATCAGATTACAAGAGACCATATTATATATGAATCCGATTTTTTTTTTTTTTTATATTTTGGATTAAACCAACTAAAGTTAATTGCAAAGTATAGCAATGCCCCTGAGTGATTATGCGTTTGTTATAGTTGTTAATGGTAAATGGTGAACTAAAATATAATGAAGAATAATTAAGTTATTCGTTATTAGTTGGTAGTAAGTTAAATTTTTTATAACTGTGTTCATGACACTTACAGCTAAAACATTTGCATTTTTATAGTGTATAACACCCCTGGAATACAAACAATATGTAACTTGCACAGAGGCATAACTAGATACCACCCGATGTGAAATTTGACATCGAGCCCTCCCTCCCATGTATCAAATTCCCACCCACCCCACTCCCTCATGTCTCATTCCCACCCCCAGCTCCTACATGTGTCTCATTCCCACCCCCAGAACCCCCATGTACCTTCTTCTCACCGCAGTTCCCAGTCTGACAGGAGGTATTTTCTGTCACACCACTAGACCATGCTACACATAGGCAGGAGGGGAGCAGCACACCTCTCCCCTTCTTCCAGACACCAGGGAACCACGGACCAGGGCCTGTGCAGTTGTTCACCAGCCCAGAAGGCATGCAGACAGCCCACAGTCGCAGGAGTCGCGGCTGCAGCCAGGCCTCCTGGAGTGAGGGACCCCATCGCAGCGGCAACCTATGCAACCATGCTATGTACGCCACTGAACTTGTTTTAGGATCTATACATCCACATCTGAGTTGGCTTCATGTTTTAATGTTGTCCCTGAGTATCTATTTAGCATGTCCATGTTGGAACCTGGACTAAAATCCATCCATGTTGCATCCAATTCCAAATCCAGATCTTGTATCAGTATTGCAAGAAAAGAAAGACTATATTATGTCTTATATTATTTATAAAATGTTTGTTTTATAATGTTCAGAATATTAATGTTTGTGCATTTAAAAAAAAAAAAAAAAATATATATATATATATATATATATATATATATATACATGAGCAATACACAGAAGGGGATTGTAAACAACACCAAAGGATCAAAACACCAACTACTGGTAGACCAAGCAGTCACAAGGGATTCTAAGACCAGACAGACCAATCTGTGTACGGCCTGGATTAACTACAAATAAGCCTATGACACAATGCCACACAAATGGATACTGGAATGCTTGGCTCTCTACAAGGTCAGCAAGACAATAAGAGCCTTCATCAAGAACTCGATTTTCAAGTGGAAAACAACTCTAGAAGCCAATTCCAGGACAATAACTCAAGTGAACATTAAATGTGGCATATACCAAGGTGATGCCCTATCCCCAATGCTCTTCTGCATTGGTCTCAACCCCCTTAGTCAGATAATCAAGAAGAGTGGATACGGGCACAGGTTCAAGAGTGGAGCTACCATCAGCCATCTTCTCTACATGGATTACATCAAGCTGTATGCCAAGAATGAGCGAGACATTGACTTACTAATCCACCTAACTAGGATATACAGCAAGGACATTGGAATGTCGTTCGGACAAGAAAAGTGCAGGCGAATGATAGCAAAAAGAGGGAAGATGATCAGGACATAAGGCCCGATAGAAGATATAGAGAACAGCTACAAGTACCTGGGGGTACCACAAATGCATGGCAACCATGAGGAAGAGACAAGGAGGATAGCAACATCCAAGTACCTCAAAAGAGTCAGACAGGTCCTGAAGTCCCAGCTCAATGGCAAGAACAAGATTCAAGCCATCAACCCATATACCCTTCCAGTCATCAGGTACCCAGTTGGAATAATAACCTGGCCAAGAGAAGAACTAGTCACCATGAATGTCAAGACCCGGAAATTACTGAATGAATGGAGGATTCCACCCAAAATCCAGCACCCAGAGACTGTACACCTGCCGGAAGGAAGGAGGTCGGGGCCTGATGAATGTAAAGGCCACAGTCCTGGATGAAACACAGAGCATCCACAAGTACATCATGAAGATGGCTCCCAAAGATGAACTGCTAAGGGAATGCCTGAGACTTCCACAGATCGAGGATACAGAAAAAGAGGAGGTTCCTTGGCAAGACAAACTTCTCCATGGGGTGTACCAACAGCAGGTAGTGGATGTGGCTCACATGACAAAATCCTACCAGTGGTTGGAAAATGCAAGACTGAAAGACAGCATTGAGGCACTAATCCTAGCAGCACAGGAACAGGCACTCTGCACCAGATCAATGGAAGCTGGAGTCTGCCACACCAGGCAAGACCCAAGGTGCCAACTGTGCAAAGAGGCCTCAGAGACAGTCCAGCACCTAGAAGCAGGATGCAAGATGTAAGCAGGAACAGCATACATGGAGAGACACAACCAAGTGCTGGGATTGTTTACCGAAATATCTGCACAGAATATGGATTGGACCTGATGGGAGATACCACCAAGGATAGTTCCGAATGACAGGGTTAAGGTCCTGTGGGACTTTAAGAGACAGACAAGCAAGTGCTGGCCAACCAACCAGACATTGTGGTGGTAGACAAGGAACGAAAGACTGCAGTCATGGTGGATGTGGCAATACCCAGTGAATATAACATCAGGAAGAAGGAACATGAGAAGGTGGACAAATACCAAGGACTGAAAGAAGAACTAGAAAGGATGTGGAATGTGAAGGCAGTAGTAGTCCCAGTTGTGATAGGAGCACTCAGGTCTGTGATTCCCAAGTTGGGGGAATGGCTTCAAAAGATTCCAGGTGGAACATCTGAGATCGCTGTCAAGAAGAGTGCAGTTCTAGGAACAGCTAAAATACTATGCAGAACCCTCAAGCTCCCAGGCCTCTGGTAGAGGACCGAGAATGAGGAATAAACATACCACCCAGGAGGGGTAAGAAAATCAATTTTTTAAAATTTATTTTTTACATACAATATATATATATAATATGTATTTCTGTTTATTATTTATTCTGTGTTCACTGCTACATTTAATGCATGGTGCATCTTTGACAAAGTATTTTCATTTTTGTTTCCCTAATGGGATTTGTTGATTAAGCAATTTATTACCCTTAATAAGCTCATTATATTCTAATAGATTGCATATTAAAATTAAGCTAACTCAGGTGTTCAAATTATATTTGGCAAACATCATTCATTTAAAATATCTTGATAGTAATATAGATCACACAGAAACATGATGTGCGGCTATCTTGAATGTGTGTGAAACATAAAAATATTGTAAAATTATGTTTCATGATCGCGTTGGTAAATAGTTTTGTATTTTTTTTGTATTAAAAAATGTGTAGTAGTACATTTGTTTATGATGTAGTATGTTTTAATATTACTTAAACGCTGGACTCTAATCATTCATCACCCTACTACGGGTCCAGAATTATTAACAATAGAGTTTAGGGGACAAAAACAAAAAAAACACAGAACACTTTTTCTTTTTTTCCCCACACCTAGTTGTTTATTGAACAAGTAGCACATAAGATTTGCAAATCTTTTATGATATTCTGATTATTATTTTTTTCTTTAAAAAAAATAAATAACCATGCTTTATATCACAATGCTAGCTACAGGGCAAATGTCTTTTTGACCATCAGCATTGCGGAACATACTGGGCTGGAGAGGTCACTGTAACTCTATACCATTAACTTTGGATTTAGTGTTTAATTGGTGAGGTAGTGCCCCTACATTCCCCATGGGCCAGTGGAGTTTATGCTAGCCCAGAGAAAATAAGCGCCTGATGGCTGTTACCTTTATAAATACATAACCTGTCTTCACTTATTGTTGCACAAACCATATAATGGTTGATCACGTTGATATCCTACAGGACATCAGGCATAAATTATTCATCCTGAATACTCTAGATTAGTTGTAGATCATAAAAAGCAAGGGTGGAACAGCACTACAATAACTGGTCACAAGGGGGCTGCACACCTGAATAGGAAGATAACCCTCAAAAGATAAATCAAACAAAAAGAACAAAGGATATAGGTAGCACCAAAATAAATAACTATTGTAGTAAGTATTCAAAAAAAGGTACCAAGCAAAAGATAAAAATGGCCTTTTGAGGTTTTAAAAGTCTTCAAATGTTGAATAAGATGTCTATGGAGTGGTATCACATATCAACAGCATATGCAAAAGAGAGAATAGGAGACCAATAGTGCAGTATAGTCTATGGACTATAGACAACATACAGCTAAAAATTGCTCAAAATTTTTAGAGCTATAACCAACTCTCGGTAAAACCGCTTACAGTGGTATTTTTACTCCCCACTTGTAGGATATCCCTCAGATGGTAGTTGTAGTGTAGTTTATATGCAATTAAAGAGAAAGAAGGCCCATAGTGCTCTCCATATTTGCAAAAATGTAATAGTAAAATGAAATGTACTTATAAGTTTGAGAGCAGACATAAAGCTCTATGGTAACCGTGTGGGTGGAACAATCCCCACCTAGGATACTTTTGATGATGGACCTGATGTATATGGGAAATAGGTTGCACCAGGTACAAATAAAATAAAATAAAAACTAAATAAAAGTATAAAAGACTGCCCCAAAGCAAATAGGTAGTCTAAACATGTTACTTTTATTCTAACAAATAATAATAAAATCACAACATGTTTTGCCCTTTTAGGCTTCTTCAAGTGAAATAAAACAGATACCTGGCAGCTTGGGTTTACACAACTAGTTTCACAACTAGAATCGTTCAGTTGACTATGGTCACAATGATTACCTTGAGATTGAAAACTCCACTGTATGTAAAGGGTGATGATTTAACATTTTCGTTTTTTTCTTCTTTTGTCCCCTCCAAGATTCAGTTTACCATTAATTTAATAAAATTTTTCTATCATCTCTTGGAGTAGACCTTTATTCTACAGTGATCTTTGATATTAGAGTGTAATTACCGGACTATGTGATTCAGATATTATTTGAGATTACACCTCTCACCTAAAATTCTCTTGATGGCTTTTACATATCATCTTATTGTAAAATGTGTAAGCATTTCAAAACTCTTGTAAAATGAGTGTTTCATATATTGTTATGCTATCACTACTATTTATTCGCACTGTAGCAACTGTACTAAATAAATAAATAAATAAAACATGCTTGATGGGAAAAAGAGAGAAAGCTACATTTAATTGGATATAATTAGATTTTTGTAAAATAATTCTTGCAAAAGTATTCGTTGGGTCAGCTATTTCTTTATAAATTCTTTATTTTTGTTGTGCTCTGAGGTAACCTATATAAGACAGTATACATGATGAAAATTGCAGTGATACAGACATATCAGCGCAGAGGAGATGTATACAATTTTTGGCACAGGTTTTTTAAAACATAATTAAACATGACGAGGATATAACATGTACTCCGCTCATGTTAAGAAGAAAAGTGTTGCTTTGTATAAACAGGCTGTATGCATTAGTTAGTGAACATAAAATGATAGGGAAAACAAACAGGTTCGTCGTGTCCCAACCGCAGGTGCCAGGCTATTCAAGATTCAAGGGTTATTTGCTGAAAAGCATTTAAAGAAGCATGCACGGTTGTCGTACTAACAAGACAGGTGAATTTACAGGTGGAGTAAAAACAGAGTAGCATTTCTAGGCTATACTATCCCGTAAGAACATGTAAAGTGCTAGACTGTGGTGCTTAAGCAGGTAGGTAGACTATATAGCTTTATTGGGTACTAAAATATGCACAGTTACTTGCTAGCAGGTAGGATTGGTAAGGTAATGGTATGCACCTAAATGTTAGACCTTATGCTGGTTGGGGTCGCTGGTATGTTACCTCTGGGGGCTGTCCCACTATGGCACTGTGCCACATCAAGAGCAGATCTGACATTAGTGGGTATAATGAACCTGTCAGACAGAAAGAAAGATCACATGGAAAGAGAAAAATTAAATAAATAAATAAAAAAGACAACAGTAACTTTTGCATGGCATTGAGTGCTCATAGGATAACTTATTCTGTTTGCAAGGGTAGAGTATACTCAGAGAGCAGTCCCAGTATCAAGGTCTTCCGATTCCTTGTAGTGACATGGCTGCTGCACCTCCTGGATAAGTGAGTCCTGCGGTAGGCCCAGAGCCCGCATCAATGCTGCAGGATCCTTGAGTTCATGGATACGGGGTGTGTCCATCCCATGTTGGACAGTGAGCAGTCGGAAGAGGTGCCAGCTGTACCCAATATTCTGTCATTGAAGCAGGAAGGTGAGTGGTCTAAGCGACATACGCCGTGCCAGTGTTCCACTCGAAAGTTCGGCAAAGAATGTAAGCGCCATATTCTCGAATTGGAAAGACGCTTTACCTCGTAAGGCTGCAAGTATTGCAGTTTAATCTTTCCCGTTTTGTAAGCTGGCGATAATGTCCCTTGTAGCCATAGCTGGTGCCTTAGCAGGTTTGGGGACATGGAAGAGGTCTTCTGGGGTAATTGGTTTGGTCTTCCTAGGTGGTAATAAGGTTGTGAACAAGCATCTTGTGAAATGTGGCAATTCAGCCTCAGGGATTTCCTCCGGGACCCCTCTGATCTAAAGGTGATTTCTCTGCCGGGTGTCTTCATGAGCCGCGAAGTGGCACTCATACATCAAGTGCTGCTGCTGCATTTCTTGTATGGCCTTTTGAAGCTGAACTATGTTCTGGGTGTTTGCTTGGGAGGCTCCCTCCAGTGCTCCGAATCGGCCTGTCAGGCCCTGCAGGTCTCCTTGGAGTGCAGTGACATCTGTCAAGATGTTCTTTTGGAGATCCGCTAATAGTGTTTTTAAA